TCCTAAATGCACACCCAAACACAGATGATATGTAGTTTTCCAGTGAACAATAAAAATATTCTTTGAGTCCGGGAATCGAACCAAGCTTTCAGACCTAGGCTCCTAATCGCCCGACACACAAAATCGGAGATCTAACCCACTCAGCCGCCGCAGCTTGGAGGTGTGATATGCGGTCGTCTAGATCAGGTACTCTACGTCTACGTACCCCTCTGACAAGTGTAGCTTGGTGTAAGATTCTCCATCAAAGCGTTACTCTTGGCAATAAACAAGAAGTTGTTATTCTTAAATTTGTATGCGTCTTTATCTTCGTCGCGACCTCATTTTGGTTTATCAGAAAGGTCGGATCAAAGTTTACAATGGATGTTGTCAACCACGACTCTCAGCAATCATAGAAATTCGGCTCCCAAAACAGTGTGAAACCATCAACTCGTTTGTTTTTGTTTTGTTGAATAACTCAGAATATATTCAACACAAAATACATTTGCACAAATCCCCAAATAGCCTCATACAGGTACATTTGCACAAAAGTACCCAAGTATGTATTAATAATGTCGCTTTTACATTGAAAAGCTATTTGATCTCGACTCGTCAGTGTAGCACTATAAGTAAAGATTAAATAAATACAAAACTGTCGAACTGATGTATATACTGTAACGAGTACTAAAGTGAGTGAGTGAGTTTAGTTTTATGCCGCACTCAGCAATATTCCAGCTATATGGCGGCACGAGTACTAATACAAACAAACAAACAATATATATACATGTATCGTATCCTCCGTTATTTAATATCATTTCTCATGACGCTTATCTTAGATGGATCGGGTTTTGAGTTCGAGGACTTGGTATTTCGTGTGTCAATGAAACGCAGCCAGCAGCGTGGGTGAATGATATCAATCAGTGTTATGACAAATTAGGAAGTTAGAAACACGATACAAACAAAATGTCAAGGCGTATTTTCAGTTCGTCAGTGTAGTGTGGTATTATTACTACACGTTTCATATTGATTATTTATCTCTTTCAAAATCCGTTCACGTGTCAGAATAATCATGTATACAGAAGTAGATCAAACTGAAGGTTTTACTAAGAAGTACCTAAATGTAAAAACACTGTTGGCATTCGGTAGATGAAATGGCTGTTTGCATAGACTTTTCGAACCATGATACAGCAGAATGCAAGTCACGAGTCAGATGGGAAAAAGCCGTTCAGAGACTGTGAGACTAGTCACGAGTGACTGTTGTAGGAAACGCCATGACCAGTATAAATCGACGTTATTCCCACATCCTGTTATTAATGACAATTAAATCGTGATCACATTAAAAAAAAGATGATGTTGAAAGATTCATCAACACAACAAAGTGTCAACAAACGATGAGTGAAATTCATAACAAACTAGGTTTTCTCAAATGTCATATGTCATAGTTCATGAGGCCCATACACTCCAAGCAATCGCTATTTAAGTGAAAGTTATTGCCTTTGAAATACGACAATGATTGTAACTTCAGTGACGACCAGAGCCGCCATGAGTGAACCGGCGGAGGGATATATAAATACAGCAACGAGGCGGTCTGAGACAAAATAGTTCAGGAACAGGTCCCCTCACTATTGGTTAACGGAACACAGCGATCAGACACAGGTAAAATCTTACCGTATATATGATATTAGCATGTATGTTTTGTACGGAACTGACCGGGCGTTATGGCGTGTAGGAGACACGTCTAAGGTAAGCTTGTATAACAATATTTCACTCTTTTGATGCTCTGTTGTATACGTGCTGCTGATTTATCGTTTACCTTGGGAAATATGAAAATTGACTGACAGCTGATATTGCTTGGAAATGATAAAGACAATGAACACAAACTCGAAAATATATTATGAATACTGTAAGTATTATTCATTGATGATTATAATTTAGACATATTACATGTTATCAGTTACCTGCAATATCGTATGTGATTTTCATGTTTGTGAAATCATATATTCAGTGAGTGAGTATGGTTCTTCGCCGCTTTTAGCAAATAGTCCAGCAATATCACGGCGGGGAAAATCAGAAATGGGCTTACATTGTACGCATGTGGGGACTCTAACCCGGGTTCTTATAATTCAATGTTCAAAGGAGGTTACTGGTATTTGCAGTGTTATTTTAATGTCTTGCTGTCCGAATATGCTCCATTTGTTATAGGTGCATTTTGTCGTAACGCAATGAACATGAAATTGTGTTGATCTAACGCGTTATAAACATCAGTGGTATTTCAGACATAATTGGTGTTAACATCACCCCAAACGATTACACCTGAGTATTATCATATGGTAGTCTGCCCCATAGTCCCTGAACTATACTACCCATCAAAAGTTTCGACTCACTAGTGCAAATGTAGCCACTTACTTCAGTCAACTGTCCTAAACTAGATTTTGCAAAATATTCCATACTGTTTACAGGTACTGTTTACACATGAACTGATGCATTGTAAAACAAATTCATAAAGTTGAAAAGATTATTATCATTAATTCAATAAATGATGAAACTCAGTGAAAATTGGCGAATTCTTAACCAAACTTTACACCAAAACGCAGCTGTTCACATGCACGATATTTGCACATGCTTTTCAGCAAATTAATGCATAATCCTCGTGCAATTCATCTGCATAAGGTTTGCAACTGGTTTCCCCAAGTTAGTGGAGAAATTCATCTTCGATGTAATCATATATACTCATGCCAATAGTGGTTGTCACCCCCTTCAATTTTTTTAAATGGAGAGGGTGTGTGGGTTGGGGGTGTGAGGTGTGTGTGGGGTTGGGGTAGGGAGGGGGTGACAACCATTATTGGCATGAGTATATATATATATATATACATAGCGAGTGCTTTAAGTGAGTCTAAACTTTAGATGGGTAGTATATATTGTTTTCCTTCAGACCAGCGCCTTTCAAATGCCAAAGCCCCAAAATGAAAGAAATTCAAATTTTCCTCAGGTCGTGGGTGGTTTATATAGCATGACAGAATATGAATGTATTTGGATGTACAGTAGTAAGTCAAAGGTGTGACTTTAGCTCAAATTAAGTGTGTAACGAAGTTTTCTTAGTCGTAAATCATTCATAAAAGTAATGAAATAGATATTATTATGCTACCAATCTTATAATATATCATATTATACTGCCATAACATCACGATCTCTTGTTGAGAATATAAACATGTATTTGCACGTATACGAAGTATAATTAAGTACTCAGGTATGATCAACAATTATGTAGAATATTGCAGTCGCGCTTGTTGAACTCACTCTTAGAAAAACAAGCTACAATCGGCATTTAGAGCTTATTCCCTGCACGTGTGACTCATTTATAATAAATGTTAATCAAGGCATGTCGGAAACCCTTCATCATCTAGCGCAGATGAGAGCTGTGGCGCTTAACGCTCAAAACAACATAATTAGAGAAGCGTCGTATAATACCTGACGCAGATGTGTTTGTGCTGACTGTAAGTACTCATTGTCCTTAGTCTCATAGTCCCTGAACCACATTATTTTCCCTACCCCCTACAATGCTAATGCTCTAAATGAAGCATGTTTATATTTCCCCAGGTTCTGAATCACCCATCTCACTGGGTCCCCGCTACAATTTACATGGGTTTATTTGTATCTGTGAAAATTATATATATTCAGAGACTATGCGTTACTCTATCACTGTCTTCTGAGTAAGACTTTCACGGCATTCACTGTCAGTCTCACAGCCCTCGAACTGCATTATTTCCCCTTCCACCCAGCCCTCCCTGCAATGTCAATGCCCAAATGAAGCACGGATTCCTCAGATTCCGAATGTCCCTTTTCACTGGAGCCCCTTTTCTATGTAAAAATTGTATCTTTCTATCAAAATTATATGTATTCAGAGACTAAATTTAACCGTTAGTCAAGACATTCATTTTCATTTCCTTTTACATACCGTTTTGCCGTTGAGTTCAGTAGTCTTATGGTCTTCAGTATTCATGGCATTCAGACTGGCAAAAGGTTTCTCGATACAAAATAATTTTAGCATTCCGCACGAATATATTGTAAATGAAAATTTCAACCAACCACAATGGAACAGGGATAGTGAGACACATATAACACCAAACAGTTCAATTAACATTTTACACAGAACACATCTCATACACATAGACTGACTGACTGAGTTTGGTTTTTACGCCGCTTTTAGCAATATTCCAGCAACATCACGGCGGGGGACACCAGAAATGGGCTTCACACATTGTGCCCATGTGGGGATTCGAACCCGGGTCTTCGACCCGACGAGCCAACGCTTTAACCGTTAGGCTACCCAACAGATCCCTCATACACATAGACCACAACATGTAAATAATTGCCTAAGCCTTTACTGTGTTTTTGGTTTGATGAAACTAACCTAGATTATGATACAAGTCAGTTCTATTCATCGTGAAATTAACACCATTAAGCGAGCGAGTTTAATTTTACGCCGCTTTTTGCATTGGGAATATGAGGAAAGAAATGTATTGTGTAATTTAAGATTTTTCTAGATTATGTTGGTCTAATTATACATGTGTATAAAAATAACAGGGGGAAGATATTATAGTATCGACAAATTCACTAGTTCGGAAAAATTCAGTGTTCTGAAACCGTGGTGTGCTTTACTTCAAAATAACCTGCTATTGTTTCATAAAGCTTTGCTTGTCATGGCTTGCCGGAAACTATTCTGAGATTATGAGATTATGTTCAATCTTGGGATATATGCCGTAATATTCCGCTCAATAAAATAACGAGGAATCATATGACTTGTACCTGATGGAATTTTACATTGTGAAATCGGTTGTAAGTAAACATGTTGACGCAATATAAGCAGAAGTTGAAAATACGTGACGTCACCATCGCGGAGTAGTTACAACCGTCCAGAACTGGCTGGTACTCGTTTGAATAATCAGAAACTCGTGTGATTAAATCTGGCTGCTGTTTGTTATATATGGTGCTAATCTCGTTAAATATAATCTTTGAATATTTTGAAAATGAATTTTCAGACATGTAGACTCTATCTGCCAACAAAGAAGGCGCTGAGTATTTTACGCGGCCAGACAGAACTCCTTGTTTGTAGTGAGGACATTCATTCAATGAACTGACACGCATGCGCACTATCCTTTGACCGCGTTCAGCGTTAGCCAATCACATCGCACTCACGCATGTAAGCACGAGTGAAATCGCAGTGACTGTCGTGGCATTATAAATTCACATATTTGCATATTGCCGGCATAGTGAAGAGTAACTGTCAGACAAGAAACAGACACGTGGTGGGAACGTATTTGATTTTCCAAACTCACCTTTGGAAAATGACTATTCCCGAAAACGTCACAAGTGTGAAAAGTTCAGGAAAGGATCGATATGAACTGATCACTGACCTTAAAAAGGTGAGTTATTTAATATCGATTTTCATAATTTATTCTTTCAAGTAGTGTTTCGTTTATAAAGGGGATCTTAACGCAATTCCTCCTTGGTCTCAGGATATGCCCTTTCCTCTGGAGAAAAGCATTAAGGGCGAGTCCGGCGGGGCAGATTCAGGCTTCAGCTCCCGAAACAGTGTCTCAATTCCCAGACCTGATGAGGACGAGGAAGACGATACCGCGAAGGAAACGGCGAGCACTGTCCTCGTGGTAGACGGTGATGCAATGACTGAGGGAAAGCCTATCCGTACCTTTGACGGTGTGTATAGTTGTGTCTACATCACTGTTGTCATTGTCGTCGTCACACGTTCATCAGTCCCCACCCAGTGATAACTGTTCATATTTCCCCACTGATCAGATAGCTATCCATATTTCCCCACTGATAATCAGATAACTATCCATATTGGGTACTGATGGTATCAGTGGGAAATGGTGCAGAATAATATTTACAGAAAACCGTTTTCATTTTACAGGGAAAAATCTTTGAATATGTTGAGATCCTGATTGCTTTGACTATATCCGCCTTTATTCAGTTGAGTGATACGCTGTGGCGCCATGTGGCCGACTTCCTCTTCACGTGTTTGCCATGACGCAGGTTCAGACTGGCCTATCGTACGACTCGTGTAATCGATCAGTAATATAAACAGGCATATGCGGGACACAAATAGTCAAAAAAGCTAAAATAGGGTATATAATTAATTACCCTGGCAGACAAAGGGTGGTAACGTATGTACCCTTCTTCCCCCCCCCCCCACCCCCAACCCACGAAAACGGAAAACTATATGTGTTCATAAAAGTAATCAATACATTGATTTTGAAGTATCTAACGGTCGCGTTAGAAATACGTATCATATGTCCGCGTATATATACTTTTTTCTTGTACCGTTGTTCTTGTTTAAATGAAGAACAATCCCAATCAATACCGGCATTAAGTGTGCTTGCGACACTTGGGTTAGAGCAATGTGTTGTACGTTAGCACATTCAGCCTACATATATCTGGGATGTGCTATTCCTACATGTCTATCCATATACTTTCTTGTTTCAAACGTCATATGATATCACATAAAAAATTTAAGTACATTTCTATTGTGTGGCAAGCTGTCGCTTGGGATCGGTTTTGACCGCGTCCATGTGTATCCGGGTTTGCGCGCGCCAATAACGAAATAGGCGCAATGTTTGAATATACGTTTAGTCATGTCCTGGTCTGCCGGCTGTTACGGATCGCGCCCAGCTGATTGTCGCTTCTTTAATGGCGGCTTGAAATTGATGAGATAGAGGTATATTAATTATAGAAATAAATAGAGTAGTACAAATTATGTGTATGGATTCTTTTCTTGTCCGAACTATATTTTGTAACATTTTTACATTTAAAAATAGTTATTGAATAACATGGAGATAATTTAATAAGAAAAGGAGTAAAGTTAGGAAGGGGTGGTGTGGTGTTTAGGTTTGAAAAGGAGCATTTACGGGTATTTCATGGGTTTGGGATGATATTTAATCATAAATTTCTTTGGCAATATTTTATAACGGTAGTTAGGGTACTGTAGAAATAGAATTGATAAGTTGACTAGTATATTTGAAGTATGTTTTTCAAGGATGTCATTTGGGAGAGGTCCTTTTTTAGTCTTTATTTAAAAGTTGATCAATTCTACTCACTTTCCATTTATCATATTGAAAAGAAATGTGTTTTTATTGCACATTATGATAAATATATTTTCAAAAGCTAGATATAATGGTATCATGCATGTATATTCGAAATGAGAACAGCTGGGATTATCAGGAACATATTATCTGTATGGGATAGGTTTATGAGAATTACTACTGTATAGGTAATTATCACTATCTATTGCCACCGTCTATAACAGCCACGAATATACTCGTAACATACATTTATACAGTATATGTTCACACTGCAATCCTGCATAACGCTGCCAGTTCTTGCTCAACAAAGAGATAACTTCTTGCTCATCATTACGCGCCTAACATTTGCAACGGCAGCATTATCTCACGCCGACTAGGAGTGCACATGCTCATGCATTTATTGCACATGTGGATCTCACGTGATCGTACGATCGTCTTGCAAGCCGTTGTTGGGCACTACACACATTCGTGGTGTTTTAGGCCAGGGAGTGCCCGCGTTCACAAAGAGGCTTAGCTATTAATAATCCAGTCAGAACCCAATAATAGTGTTCGTTGGCGCATGAATGCGTGTCCGCGGTAAGCCTTATGTCGAGGAACGGCCTATTGTACAGGTAATATAACCATAGTTGTATGTAGAACATGTAACTTTTAGAATTAAAGAAACTTCGGTACATTTAACCAGACTTTTTTTCAGAATCTAATGCAATATTCTGCCATTTCAGCGTCATTCCAAGAATTGGGCCTAGCTGCCGTTGTAATCAGTTGAAATTATTGCACTATAATTTCTTATCAATCAACATTCTTTTGTTAACAGGGGATGCGGACGGATGTCAAGCAAGACGGGTTCCTTTTGGCATCCTGAAGATCTTGGGCATCGTCTGTCTACTGTACTTATTCATCTGCTCGCTAGATCTCCTAGGCAACGCTTTTCAGCTGCTAGGGGGCAAAGCTGCAGGTAAACTCACACCAATTCTTACATAAGGTAAATGTTAGTCCTAGGGACTGTCATTAATGTTTCAGTATTAAATTTTTGAGGAACAGGTAAAATATTGTTTGACAATATATAATATTAAAATTTATTTAAAATCTTTGGTAATAGGTTTAAATTTATTTTGCTTTTAACACTAGTCACGAATAAGATTTGTTTTCACGTAATGCTGGAAGTGATTTTATTGAATTTAGGTTCAAACAAATAATATATTCCTGCTGCTATTTCAGGAAAAGTTTTCACCCAAAGCGACCTTCTGTTGAACCCGATCACCGGTCTGATGATGGGAATCCTGGCCACGGTGTTGCTGCAGAGCTCGTCCACGTCCACGTCCATCATTATCACGATGGTGTCGTCAGGAAGTAAGTAGTCCCTGTTGCCAGCATTTCGTACATTGTTGAAATTAATAATCCCAACCAGAGTCGATGGACTTGTGAAAGTGTTTCCGGGTTCAACTGTTGTTCTCATATTGTGTATATGTGTATTGTCATTTGTACATCGCATGCCTCAGACTTCAACCAGAGAGTAATAAAGTTTATTCATAAGAAATGAGATCTCATTTGGCAATATGCACATAGCAATAATATATACAATTTGGTATGATTTTAATGTTTTTTATTTGCGTGTTACAGTCATTGAAGTTCAACCTGCCATCCCCATCATCATGGGCTGCAACATCGGCACGACGGTGACCAACACACTGGTATCCCTGGCCCATTCTAGTAAAGGAAAGGAGTTTGAGAGGGCCTTCTCTGGAGCCACCGTACACGACGTCTTCAACTGGCTCACCGTGCTGATACTGCTGCCACTGGAGGCTTCAACTCGTAAGTGTAGTTCAGAATACCGAATAAGAATAAATTATTTTATTTTTCTTCTATTATATGTAGAGGTGTGAGGATACGGAAATGTCACGATACGTATCGCGATATCTTGGAACAATACGATTCGATTCGATGCATATCACGATATGCTATCTTTAGTTATTTTCTTTAAAAAAAGTATATTTTGATAGCAAGTAACAGTGTAAACTTTTACATAACCGTCAATTTCTAGTGAACATTAACAATGTTAAGGTTAAAGATACATATCACGATACGAACAAAAGTATCGATATATTTATCGCCAGATAAAGTATCACGATTATCGATACTACGATGTATCGTCACAGCTCTAATTATATGTATATGTTTGAAATTGTACATGAGCATATAGTCATGGCTCCTGTTGGTTACAGATATGCTGTACCGCTTGACCGACGTCATCGTCTCCGGCGGGGACTTCAGCAGCATGAAGAGTAAAAAAACAGGACCTGCTGAAGAAACTCACAAAGCCCCTTACCAAGATGGTTGTCCAGATTGACAAGAAGGTGATCACACAGATTGCGGAGAGCGACCCTGAGGCTAATGGCAAGAGAATACTCAAGGTATGAATCTTCAATGTACCTTCACTGTTAATATACTCATGCCAATAATGGTTGTCACCCCCCTCCCCACCCCAACCCCACACACTCACACCCCTCTCCAATTAAAAAAATTGAAGGGGGTGACAACCATTATTGGCATGAGTATATGTTCAACGCAGCAATATCCCAGTAATATAACTGGTGTCTGGACAAGAAAAACCAATGATTGATGTTATGAACCACGTCCCACGCGGGGACGATTGCACGTGGTCATCTGGGTCACCCAGTTTGACCTACCGATTCTTAAGTGTTGCTTTGAACCTTTCTAACCTTGATTCCTCCCACCTGGCACAAACAATGATTATAGAAACAGTTTATGTATGAACTTGAAACAAGCTACAAATATATCCATCTTAGTATGCCGCAAATCTTATCATTTGTACATTTGATGATTGTCTATTTCAGACTTTCTGTACACGTGAGGTCGTTGTCAACGTTACCGAGGGAAGCAACGTCACAGAGACCTGCGACGATACATGTAAGTTCTGAAGTCATACCTATTTCAGATAATATTTCAAAACATTTGTCCTGTAGGACTATTGTCTTCTGTGCATAGAAATACTTTCATCGTGTCAGTTGGTTGGTTGTGGCGGCTGAGTGGGTTAGATGGCAGACTTTGTGTGCTGGCGATTAGGAGCCTGACTCAGAGAGTGTGTGTTCGAATCCTGGATGGAACTCAACCAAACAAAAGTACTGGAATCGCTACTCTACTTAGAAAGTGTATATTGTAATCCCAAATGTAGCTGAAGTTACATATTTTCATATCTGAATTTTAGAAAGGGATCTTGTTATATAATCTGATCCATATATATTTTGAGGTGATTTTGATTTTGATAATTTTGTTTTACAGTCCATGCTGTGATTAACCACTTCCACGGCTCCCTGAACGACACAATGGCCGGCGTTGTCCTCCTCATCTTCTCCATCATATTACTGACAATCTGTCTCATCTGTATTGTCAAGGTAAGACGAAATACCACCCATCTGGTACAAACATATGGTCTTACTTATATCACTGTTTGATATAGTGGAATCGCACTAAAAGATTAAACACCGTCAAAAGATTAACCAAAGTTTCCACAAATAATTCGATGTGAACAGTTAGTTGTTACTTTTTCCTAACAAAATTTCTGGATTGTACAAACATCCCTCCTTCATGTTTCAGCTTCTCAATTCCATGCTGAAAGACAAGATCACAGTCTGGCTTAAGAAGGTCATCAACGCCAAACTGCCCTACCCAGTCGCCTGGCTAACCGGCTATCTCGTCATTCTGATTGGAGCAGGCCTCACGATTCTCGTCCAATCAAGTTCCGTATTCACATCTGCTCTCACCCCATTGGTCGGTGTTGGGTGTCTGAAACTTCGCAGGATGTATCCACTGACCCTGGGTTCTAACATAGGAACCACCGCAACTGGCATTCTTGCTGCATTAGCTGCTCCTTCAAACAAACTAGGGGTAGCACTGCAACTGGCTCTCTGTCACCTGTTTTTCAACATCTGCGGTATTGCGTTATTTTATCCCGTACACCCAATGCGAAAAATCCCAATTAACGCAGCCAAATTTTTAGGAAAAACAACAAACAAATATAGGTGGTTTGCTGTTTTTTATTTAGTTCTTTTATTTTTCCTTATGCCAGGATTTTTCTTTGCATTATCCATGGCTGGTACCATTCCATTTGTAATAGGTGTATCCATCATTGGATTAATTGGTTTGTTTGTTGTCGTTGTAAATGTTATTCAGAGTAAACGTAAAACCATTTTGCCAAAACGTCTTCAAACTTGGGAATGGCTTCCTGTATATTTGAGATCTTTAGAACCTTTAGATAAAATTATCAAAAAGATAACCCGCTTGTTTTCAAAATGTTCCGGTAGGACATGCTGTTTGAATGAGAGCGATGTTGAAAATCAGAGTGCAAGTGAAGTCCCAATTGGTGACGATGAGGACGATGTTGATGATGATGACGATGCTGTCGAGGACGATGAATGCACTGCACTATATGGTAAACTGTGTTGCGCTAGCAAGAAGACCCACATTCCCGCCAGTCAAGAAGATGAGGGATTTGAAGAACCTATTAAACAGAACATTCACCAAGTCAGCCATATACGTCACCCTATTTATACGCCTCCGGGCAGAAAGAAGAACATGGGAAGACTGTGCTTTAATCAAACGAACAGTTCACCTTCTTCAACTCCGTTATTACACGAAGTTACCAAAGTTTAGTCAAATGTTCAGCTAGTTAAGGTGGCGGTGATTTCGCTCTGCTCGCAGTCTTGTGAGATGAGCTTGGAAGGTACTAACGGTTTGGGGGCAGGTATGAGATATTGAAAGAGTTTAGCTTTAATTTCCGGACCAAAGGGATGGGAACGGTATGTGCAAAACAGATGGTAAGCTATATTAGCTAAGGTTAAATATTAGTCGTTCATACTGAACATTTCTGTTCCATATATTATGGGGTATAATTGGTTAAATCGACATTTAATGATACTGGTTTTTGTATGTTAGTGGAGATAACAGTCACAATTTATATTACTTTTGCAAGTGTAATTTTGATAGTTGAAGCATCCTTTGTTAGTTACGAGTTATGCTCTCCAAGCTCAGTCTCATTTTAGTTCTCGCCAAATTTCGCAAATCATTCCCAAATGAATTTAAGTCCATTTCCACATATCATTGCTGAGTAATTAAAGTTTTTGTTCAAAGGAAATCAACACCTGAAAGAAAGCATATCGCCTGCAACAACAATGTGAGTTAAGGAACAACAGCGTGTTATATATGGAGGTTTCTTGACCTTGTAATGTATTCACTTCGTTGTTTACTTGTTCTGTCCATCAAAACAGCATTATTTAACAAAAGCCTTGTTTGTAATTGTATACAATCAGCAGCATAAGAAGTGCTTGCTGAATAGTCCAACCAACGATCAACGTTCACCATGCTGAATCTCAGTTTTTACAAGCCTTTAGTCATATAAGTTGTTCTTATTTACAGTGAAATCATGTTATATGACTACGAATCTCACCTGATCTCTTGCCAGAGGCTAAATGCATTGTATATCTGTATAGTACGTTATTTTTTCTACCGCTTAAATGAATTCGGCTACGAACATGTAGTGTTAGCTTTGTAAATATTTAAATATTAAAAAATACTGATCGCTGCTATTTGCGGTTATCGTTTTATATTATAAATATCTATTTTTTAAGTATATTTTCATTTTATATCATTTGGACTCTTTAAAAATTGAACGGTTTCTGAAAATCTCATTGCAGTAGTATTTGGACCAGTTATTTTTGCCAAACATCTCTGATGACATTGTGATAAATGAAAACCAGGTATTTAATCACGTTCTTGTGATGAAAAGATGTCAGGTATTGAATTCTGACTTTTCACGTGTGTGACAATCTCTTGAACTGCTGACAAGATGAATAGTATGGACCGAATACTGATCGTGTGAATATGGGTGTTTTAAGTATGTATGTATTTATGTATATATGTCAGTATATGATTACGCATGTGTGATGTGTGCGCGCGTTTGTGTGTGAAAGAGTACGTGGACAAAAATAAAATTTAAAACGAACATTTGTTATTTGTTATGTTTTCAAATGATTATATTTAATTAAAACGTGTTAATGTTATGTTTCTATATTGAAGGAGTTTGTTTGCTGGTGATCTCAAATTTTAAAAATTGTATGGATTGTAAAAATTGCTAGTCTGTCATTCAGACCCAGAAACAAATATACACAATTCAGCCCATGCAAATCTAGAATATACGGCAAGTCTCGATTACCACAGCTTCTGGAAATGAAGAAAGTCTCTGGGCTCCTTTTTATTGTATTTTATTTTAATTTACAACCTTTCTTTCTTTGAAATATTTTCATTTCATAGATTAGATGTCAGTCTATATGAATGTATGGCATGGTCGCTATGGAAACACGTGCGTAACTACCGGGCAAACAACATCATTTCTTTCGACGTTGCAGCAATGGGCCTAGGGGGATTTCAAATGTCATGTAGGCACATCGCAACCCTCTGGCAGTGACGACAGCAGGGTCCACCATCATGTAGGTGACGGTTGTTAACCCTTTCAATGCCGTTTCATGTATTTTGTATTTGTCGTAGCCATTAGCTTCAACTCAGAGTGGCAGTGGTTAAAGCGTTCGCTCGTCACGCCGAAAACCCGGGTTCGATTTTCCACATGGGTACAATGTGTGAAGCCCACTTCTGGTGTCCCCCCGCCGTGATATTGCTGGAATATTGCTAAAAGCGGCGTAAAACTAAACTCATTCAACTCAGATGTTGACACGACCCTTATTAAAATGCGAAGCGAAAGAAAAAATGCACCCACGTTTGATCCAGTCTGAAAATATAACTGGTAAACAATGATTATTCGCTGATAATGTGATTGATTTGGGCTTCATCTTTGTGATTTGGAACTTATGTTTGTTTGGGCGACTTCCTAGTAACGATTTGAAGTTTTGTAATTATTACGACAAATCTAGTTTTCAGGGTAATACTTGTTTCAATTAATTATAAAAAAATGGGCTTCACAAACCGAAACATGAGTCTCATTAACCTATTCAGACAATGGCCTACTTTTCAGCCGATCCGAATTTTCTCGAGTGAAAGGGAAAATAGACATTACAAACAAATATGGTTACACTGAATTCCAATGTTTCGTTTAATAAGAAAATGGTATTTATGAATGAATTTTAAGTGTAAACTTGAATAACATCGTATTTCTATACTTTATGGCGAGGTGTAGGCAGCATGACTGACTGACTGACTGAGTTTAGTTTTACGCCGCTTTTAGCAATATTCCAGCAACATCACGGCGGGGGACACCAGAAATGGGCTTCACATAAGGCAGCATGAACTTAACTAAGACGTCACAGACTGCCCCTGTTTGATGAGGTCGTAAAGTGATTCACAATGCATCAGGCTCACTGGTTACACCTGTTATGTGTTTTGTATGTTTATTCAGTGTAGTTCTGTAACGCACAATGTATGTGATTGTTATAATATCAATTCCGTACCAGACCGCCAAACTTTTCTAGCGGCAGAACCTCGTTTTCAGATTTCTAGGTTTCCGTTTGTCAGAGCTCGCTGTACGACAGAGCACGCTGCACGACGTGTTTGGAAGGATTAGACGGTCTCAAAATTCTGGACTGGTTAAAGTACTAAGTTGCGCAAGAGGACGGAACCCAGCCAACAGGAAACGAGACTGTTGTGTAATCAATGTTTTGACTTGCACATTGTACCCATGTGGGGAATCGAACCCGGATCTGTGGCGTGACGAGCGGACATTTTAACCATACCCCACCGCCCCGCGTTGTAGAAGACCAATTCCTACCCAGATTTTCACGGGTGCCGACAGTTTGGTCGCCTCTTTCTTACAGTGAAGATCCGGGTTAGAATTGGTCTTCAGCAACCCATGCTTGTCGTAAGAGGCGACTAACGGGGTCGGGTGGTCAGGCGATTGTCACGTGTCATCGTATTCTAATTGCGTAGGTCGATGCTCATGTTGTGGTCACTGGATTGTCTGGTCCAGACTCAATTATTTGCAGACCGCCATCATTTAGCTGGAAAAATAGCTGTGCGGTGTTAAATAACAAACGAAAAAAAACCAAATCGACAAACCAAAAGACATTAAAAATGGTGCGGGATGGTACTGGAAATCTTACAACATCAACGGAGTCCTGGGCACACCTACTACCTAAGGTCCCTATTGCCTAGTGGTAAGACGTTAGAACGAACGCCGAAGAACGAGGTTTGATTCCCTACATGCGTACAATGTGTGAAGCCCATTTTTGGTGTTCCCCCGTCGTGATATTGCTGGAATATTGCTAAAAGTGGCGTAAAACTAAACTCTCTCACTCACCGGAGACCTAACATGTATAAACTGTGTGAAGCCATAACTGGTGTCCTCCGCCGTGATATTGCTAAAAGCGGCGTAAAACTAAACTCACTGATTAACACTATGTAAAGAGACTCGATTGTTCAGGCTCGGTTGATTTCCTATCATCAGCTCTGCCCGCTCGTGTTATTGCCTACGACAATGATGTTGAAGTTCATTTTTAGTCACGTTTTTGAACAACGCGTGTGATCCATGTGCCCTACAATTCACCCTTGACTATTGGCCATGATCTTTCAGATCCACGCAATCTAGAAGTGTATACATTCTGGCAGTCCGTAATGAAACTGTTATCCTTGGGCAAGATGCCAAATGGAGGGAACACGATACCTGTCTTTCAGCGGGGATAGCGTTATATACTGAACATCATTGAAAACGCACCAGTCTAAAATTGTCCATATTTTCATCAAGATGGATTTCAGTATGACAATGATCGATGCATATAACTAACATGAATTCGAAGGGCATGTCCAGTTGAAAAAATGCTTTAGAAACAAATTCCTGTCCACAGTATGACTCTTAATTCCAAAATGCATCAACATGCAGCCACGCCATGAAAAAAGCGCGAATTTCATTCTGAAATCATACTGACTGACATTAAAAGCAGGTGTATGAGAACCGATTCTCATTGCTTCACTAGCGATTGTGAAACGAGGACAGAGATGCCGAGGTTAACACCTCACGAAAGAGAACGTGCACTAGGCATGATTCAGGTTGGCACCAGCAGCAGGGATATTGCTCGACAACTTGGACTTGGCCACTCCACCATCGTTAGGCTTCATAGACGACATCAGTAGACAGGCAGCACCCGTGACCTTCAATGACCTTGGCAACAACGTGTTACGACGCTCCATCAGGATCGCCATATTGACCTTGTCCATATCAGTGACTGAACACTGCCGACTGCCAGGACTGCTGCACTAGTTCAAGGTTGACGTGGGGGTCATCAGCGCGGACTCCATGCGACGCCGTCTACACGCTACAGGGCTCCATGCTCGGCGTCCTTACGTTGGACCAATTCTGACTGACAGACACCGTAATGAGCGTATACAGTGGGCTAGCAGGCATTTTCAGCAAAGGTTACAACAATGGCATGGTGTGGTAGTCACTGACGAGTCACGTCTTCATCTACGTAATGCTGACGGCCGATTACGTGTTTGGCGTAGACGTGGTGAACGTTATGCTGATGAGTGTGTGGTTCAGACAGACCCTGGGTGGTGGGAGCGTCATGGTCTGGGGTGGAATAAATTACAATCACAGGAATGTCTTCATGTCTGTCAAGGGAGAGTTAATGCCCTTTATTACCGTGAGCAGATTCTTCAGAATCACATCGTATCTGTCTTCAATCACCACCAAGATGTCCATACTTTTCAACAGGACAACGCGCGGGCACACACAAGAAGACTTTCCATGCAGTATCTGGCCCAGCAACACATCCAGGTTATTCATTGGCCAGCACAGTCGCCACATGTATCCCCCATGGAGCACTTGTGGGACGAAATTGGTCAAAGACTTTCGCGGCGTCAACAGATGCGAAACATCCGGGAGCATGTGGCTGCACTACTGCAGAATTGGAATGCCATCCTCAAGAACTGTATTCGGATGCTTATTAACTCAATGAGGAGACGTTGAACTGCATGTGGCAATGCAAATGGCGGTCACACGTGAAATTGACTTTTCGATTTGACCCCACGTGTGTTTGATCCTTTCTGACTGTGGAATATTTCAATGAATGAGTGTCTTTTCTGTGTTGTTGTTTTTGTCAGTCGTCCATCTGTTATTATCCACTCAAAAAATATCAATTCCTTAAACGTGCTTTTAATAATCTGAACTTTTATAAGTGGTGCGTTTTCAATGATGTTCAGTATATAAGAGCAGTATTAACATTCTGTTTAGAGTCTGAAGTAGCAGTTATTACGACAGTATGTATATTTTAGTGGCCTCTATGCCCAACTACATATGAACATGTAATAAGACACCTATCTCCGATACCTATCCGGGTTCGATCCCCGGCCGCGTCATACCAAAAGACGTTAAAATCAGGTACTTGTTGGTCCCTGCCTGGCGCACGGCATTAATGGGTACAACAAGGACTGGTCGGCTTGGAGTCAGTATAATGTGTCTGAGTGGGGTATTCATTCTTAACTGCGGCATGGTATCTCAGTGGGCTAGCACTATAAAACCAGCTTAAGTCTGGGCTAGTACAAGCAGCCGCACATACATATACACATGCATGCACGTCGTCATATGAGCGAAATATTCTCAAGTACGACGTTAAATCCCATTTCACCTCACCTCACCGATACCTACCCATCGAAACTACCGGGCAAAAGAAAGTTATCCCAGACTTCACTTGACCAAAAACTAGAAACAAAGATTTATAAAAATGATTTTACCAACAGAAATCAATTTCCAATAATTTGACTGAAAATGCATTGTAATGCTGGCCTTGAATTTGACAGAGTCAAGGGGGCAAAATTATAGAATACACAAACCAAAGTGCATTCAAAAAGTGCATGAAGAGTCAGGGGACACGTCATCAGTAGTGAGTGTGAGTGAGTGAGTTTTGTTTTACGCCGCACTTAGCAATATTCCAGCTATATAGCGGTGGTCTGAAAGTAATCGAGTCTGGACCAGACAATCCAGTGATCAACAGCATGAGCATC